TGTGCTTTTTTGGCAATTTTTCTATTTTTGTGCGTAGAGAGGAAAGATCTTTAGTTCAATCCAACTAGCCTCTTGATGTTGGAGAAGGCAGAGCAAGGGTAATTGGCTGAAAATGACTTAGAAATTTTAGAAAGCAAACGAGTAGAAAACAGCAGCAAATGTAAAGCTGAGTTTTAAAATGTCCCCAGACAACATTTTGACCTTGAGAAATTAAGTCCAAAATGAGCAGAGGCAGCCCGGTGAATTTACAGCAGTTTCCAGCTGTGTGCTGGCCTGGTCACAATCCAGCATGGTGACAAACCATGTCATAGCAAACCATTTCCTTCCGATAGTGACTTCCACGGAGGAATTACAGAGGACCTTGGGAAATTATGCCATTAGTATTCATTAAGTGCACGCAGTGGCGGAAACTGAAGAAAAGAGATTCGGGGAAGCCAGTGGCTCTGCGGAGAGTGACCTAGAACATCGACTTGTGCTCACTGATCCTGGGCAAAGCCAGCTTCCTCTTGGCTGCATGAGACAAACCCTTCCCTGCAAACCAAGTGTCCTCCACCCAGAACACTAGGATTTTTTAGGAACTTTTCTGCTCCTATGCGAAGTTAATCAAGTGTTTTCATTACATCCATATCTCTATTATGTCTTTCATTTTTCAGTATCTTAGACCAAACCCCAAAAGTTTTAAGTGATAATATAGGTGGGTAATTAATTAGCTCACTCAATACACACACACCCCAACACTGTAGTAAAATTTTCACTGTGTCTCAAATGAGGTCAGCATATTTCTCAACATATACAGAAGTTCCTCCCGTGGAGTTATATATGAGTTGATAGTTGATTTCAAAATAAAACTGTGGTATTCTCTGTCTTATGAAAATACGCTAATTTTATCCAAATTATCTGTTAATGCTCTGTGCCAGAATCATCTGCAGAAAGACACCAGAGAAAACACCATGGCAGGAATATTTTGGCATAAAAATTAGCTTTCATACATTATTATTTTTTCTGGAGGGGTTGTAATTAGGTTTGTTTGTTTGTTTGTTTGTTTATTTATTTAATGGAGGTACTGGGGATTGAACCCAGGACCTCATGCATGCTAAGCACATGCTTTACCACTGAGCTATGCCCTTCTCCCATGTCATTATTTTCTTAATAAATTACATATTTAATTTCTGCCACATTTTTAATTATGTCCAGCAGACCTGTTGAACTAAAACAAAAGGAATCTTAATGTGATGAATAAATACCTTTCCTTTTCCATCCATCAGATATTTTCTCAATGATTTCTGACTCCAGTGGAGTGATGGTTTATGGACGATACGATCAGTTCCTTCGCGAAGTTCTCAAACTACCCACGGCCGTTTTTGAAGGTCCTTCATTTGGTTACACAGAACAGTCAGCTAGATCCTGTTTCTCTCAACAGGTAGGAAAAAACTTGTTTAAGGAAGTGTCCCTCCGTGGTTGCTGTCCTGTGTGTCACTCCAAGTCACCACTTAGACACATTACTCTTCATGATTACCTGGAATGTATCTTCTAGCTCATGGCAAAGGAGCTCGGAGTCAGTACCTAAACTCAACAATCCAGATAATAATAATAGGTGATGTTTCCTGAGCACGAGCCGGGCACCACGCTAAATTCTTTACTTGCATTGTCTAATTCAATCCTCACAACAACCCTGTACCCTCGATATTATTATTATCGCCACACTATCAAAAGGGCTGAATTATCGCTCAGCCTCACCTGAAACACGAGTCTGGCCTGCACCAAGCTTCACCAGTGTTCAGCAAAGGAGACAAGAAAGGAACCACAGCACATGCCACATGCAGTCTGGGAGGCCCTAAATCGTCCACTAAACTGGGGTTCAGAGCGACGTGTTTTAGCTGGGAGTGGTCCAAGTTAGCCAAGGGAAGCCGCTTCGTTTGGAGGGATCTCCGTGTTTACATCTCTCCAGTTACATGGAAAGTCTCTGTGTCTAGAGCTGTTCTCCAGCACAGCACAGTGGAGGTGTGTAAATCCATAAGTTGAAGATTTGTTTACAGTTTTTAAAAAATCCAGCCTAACCAAGTATGTCCTCTAAAGGGATCCCTTGTATAAGAAGTCAGGGCTAGCAGCCACTGAAAAACTGAATTTATTGTCCAGCTGGTAAACCTCATCTACCTGTTTACTTGGTGATCTAAGAGGTCCAGAGTGCCTCCAGCACCCTTGCTGGTCATGGACTTATGTAGAATTATAAATGGATCTGTACAATCCAGAAGAGAAAGGAGGCTCAGATACAGTGAGTATCAAACTCTACTCCTGGGGCATCTCACCCAGGAAGCCTTTCTGACCCTTCATAATGTTAACCAAACTAATCAATAAACAATCAATAATAAGAATAGAAAAGAATTCACAGAATGGCCATCATTCAAAAATCCATAAATGACAAATGCTGGAGAGGCTGTGGAGAGA